TGATGATAATTATTGTCAGCACAGAGCTGATGTTGACTTCTCTGAGGCAGAGGTCAGACGTCCCTCGCACGGCACTCTCTACTTCTCTTCTGGGTTCAATCATCCATTGCAGTGGCCGCACAGAACTCACCAGCCGTCCTTAAACAGTTAAGTGGTTTGTTAAGGAAGCAACAGGCTAGAACTGGGGATCAGGATCAGGAAGCATGTAGGCAAAGTCTCCCTTCTTCAGTGCAGGGCAGCTCTCTCAGCTCCTCCCAGCCATGCAGGCCTCCTCTCCGCCCTGAGGACAGGCTCCTCTTAGCCCTGCCATCTGTCGCCACCGACTCTGCCACAGGGTCCCTCCCAGGCCTCTTGCCGCTGGCTGTGCCGCTGGCTCTGCCGCTGAGCCCCTTCCAGGCCCCTCACTGTCTTCAGTGTTATAGCCTTACCAGTGTGACAGCTCTTTTAGGAAGTACCTTGCATCCTCTCTCTCTCTCTGCTTCTTCTGCTGCATCTTTTCTTGCTTCTTTTTGTCCAACAAACCATTGTGGGGTTGGCTGCATATGTACCCAAACTCTCCATAAATTTCAAGGCATGGCCCTCCCACCAGGATCACAAACTGACCGATCCCGTAATCCCCTCTCAGTAGGCCACAGACATTTCATTTGCATAGTCTATAGTCACTTCATTTGCATAGTCTGTTGACCAGTCCCTGCAAGGTGCATACCAGTCACAGGACGCGCTGCAGTCCAGGACCAGACAAAACTATCAAACCAGGTTGTTTACAGTTTACCCGGGAAACGTCAATCCATCTGGACAAAAGTAACAAACCCCCTAGGGTAGAAATCTAGGGCAAAGGTAACTCCTCAGGGCTTAGGGGAAAAATCTCTAAAGCAGTTTTTCCGAAAAACCAAGGCAAAAGGCCACATAAACGAATTCAGTTCACCACAGGCGCGTGGAGCCTGGGCTGGCGCTGCCTGGCACAGAGCCTGCCTGATCCCGAGTCCTGGAATGGGGGGCGTGGAACCTGCCTGATCCTGGGTCCTGGGCTGGGGGCGCGGAGCCTGCCTGGTCCTGGGTCCTGGGCTGGGGGCGCGGATCCTGCCTGGTCCTGGGTGCTGGGCTGGGCAGTCACCCCCAGGCGCCACGGCCTAGGGTCCCCAGGCCACGGCAAGGACCAGGGTCGGGGCTGTTTGCTGAGCACCAGGGGTGGCACAGGCTCCCATTGTGTGGGCAAAGTCACTGTGCTGATGCAGGGGGGGCCGGCTGTAGAGAGCAAACCTGCCACAGGGCACCCTTGGAGGGCTTCTTGGAGGAGGGGGCTGGCTGAGGGACAGAGGGAGCCCCTCTTTCTCCTGAAGCCCCAAGCGGCCGCAAGGCAAAGGGCCTGGGAGGGAGCAGGCAGAACGGGGCCCGCAGTGAGGAGGGAACCCATCCTCTCTCCGTTTGTCTGTTTCCACATCTCTGTCCCCGGCCCCCTCCCTGCCCACCCTTGTCTGTCTGTCTCTTTGTCCGTCATCTTTCTCGGTCTCTGTCTGTCTCTCTCTCTCTCCTTCCAGAGCCAGTGCTCAGAGGCCTGGCCCGGCGCCCTTCTTGAGGCCACCTTGGACTGCAGTTCGGGCCCGGACCCCTTGCTTGGGGGCCTGAGGGGGGTCTGATCCGGGACCACCTGTGCCTCCTCTCCTTCCCTGTTCCTCCTGGACAGTCAGGAAATGGGTTTCCCCCCAGGGCCTCCCCATCCCAGTGCCCCACCTCTGCGAGCCCTTGAGCTCCTTCCTGGGAGAGGAGGCAGCGAGGCTCGGAATGAGGGGGCTTAGGAGAGACGGGGTGAGGCCAGGACCGAAAGCTGGGCGAACGTGGGCAAGGAGTCCAGAGAGAGGGTCCAGACCCCGTGGATAGAGAATGAGAGGGTGGGTGGAGAGAGCTGGGGAGCAGAGTCAGGGGAGCATTAAAGACGGGTACAGAGAGGCTCAGACCCGGAGCAGAGGACCCCGTGGGGACCCTGAGGGAGATGGCCCAGGTCCAGCCGTGTGGGCTGACTCCCGTCCTCCACCAAGGCCCTGGGCAGTGGGTCTGGGTGTTGTCCCCTCCCTGTGGGTGTGGGAAGAGGTGGCCGGCCGGTCCTGATGCCTGCCGCTGCCTGCCCATCCATCCACAGGGCCTCACTCTGGAGCTCCTGTGTGGTGCTGCCACTGCTGGCGCTGACCTGGATGTCAGCTGTCCTCGCCGTCACGGACCGCCGCTCCGCCCTCTTCCAGATCCTCTTTGCTGTCTTCGACTCACTGGAGGGCTTCGTCATCGTCATGGTGCACTGCATCCTCCGCAGAGAGGTGGGCCTGCGGACACCTGGGGGGGCCAGGACAGCGGGACACCTGGGGGGCCTGCAGGATGTCTGGGGGGCCGGGCTGGCGGGATGCCTGGGGGGCCTGCGGGAGAACTAGAGGGCCAGGCCTGCAGGACACCTGGGGGGGCAGCAGGACGCCTAGGGGGTTAGTGGGATGCTTGGGGGCTGGGCCCGGGCCTGTGGGACGCCTAGGGGGGCAGCGTGCATCCAGTTCAGTAGCTATCCATCCGGCACTGCGCCCCTGGAGGGCTGGAGCATGCCTGCACAAACTCAGATCCCAGTCCACGCCCAGCACTCCGTGTTTCAAAAACCTGACTCACAGCAGCCCCATGTGTGTCAGAGCAGAACTCCAGAGGGTTTTCAGTAGCTGATATTTTGGAAGTAGATTGCCAGGCCTTTTTCTCCAGGCATCTCCGGGTGGACTCGAATCTCCAACCTTTCGGTTAGCAGTGAGCACGTTAACTGTTTGTACCACCCAGGACTCCTCTCCACGTGCTCCTGTTTTCCCAGGGTGACATGCTGCCCTGCTGGTGTGGGGCACAACAGCCATCTAGACAGACCTGGCTTCTGTTCGCGTCGGGGCCCAGGGGGATGAGAGCCGCCAGCAGGTGTGAACCTGGATGGGTTCCTCACAGCAGCTGAGACTCTACTTTTGGCACTTTATGGACCTCTTCAGAGGTGTCCGGAGAGGGTCTTCACCAAACGACGTCCCAGCAACCCGCTGGCTGGTAGCAGTTATTGAGGTTATCGAGGAGATGCGTCCCGATCTTAGTGGGGAATGTGAGGAAGCTGCATCCTGATGTCAATGAAATAAGCTCTCTTCTTCAAACCCACGTGGAGCATCATCTTAATCTGGGTTCTCTAGAGGAGCAAAACTAGTGAGACTCATTTATAGAGAGGTATACTCAAGGAATGGGCTAGTGCAATCGTGGGGGCTGGCAAGTCCCAAATCTGTGGGTCAGGCGGCAGGTTGGAGGCCTCTGCTGGCTCGCAGGGTTGCAGGGGCTGATCAACCCAGGACCTGCAGGTCAGGTGGCAGCTTGGAGGCCTCTGCAGGCTTACGTCCAAGGAACCCGAGGTCAGGGGATGAGAAGAGTGCAGGGTCAGGAGAGAGGAGCTCTGCCAGAACCTCTGTTTATATCCTGGAGACAGGCCACACCCACAAGGCAACTCCCCTTTCAACTGATTGGCTGATCACATCAGATCACAACATGGAAGATGATTACATTATATTACATTATGGAAAAGCACCTAGTCTGGTGTCTGCTGCACACTGAGAGTCACAGCCTAGACATGTGACACGTAACATTAATCATCATAAGCAGTGAAAGGGGAGCGTGGGGTCCCCAGCAGTGGCATAGGAAACCATGACAAGGGGTTGGAGATCTCAGTGTGGAGCAGACGGTGGGTTGAACGGCTGC